AAGAGCTGAAGTCTAGGAAAGAAGAAGCACACATACATCTTTTTAACAATGGAATAATTACTTGAGAAAAACAATACGCTGCAGAATTCATGTGATGATCAATGTGATAATCAATGTTCACTAAGACTATCAGGAAAGTGAGATTTAAGTCGATTTGGGTCTCTAAAGACAGGTCTTAATTAGGTAAAAGGAAGTGAATAGAAGCTTCCAGACATGGAAAATAATATGAGCAAATGCAGGTGATCTGTACGCCTTTGGCATATTGGACAGCAAATAAGTAGATGTTTTATTACTTCATTAAATATCCCACAAATATATTCAGAGCTCTTATTATGTCCCAGTTATTGTGCTAGGGATTGTGGATCCAAGAGAACAAAATAGATACAGCAGGTTTGTGGAAGTGAGATTGGAAAGTAGGAGAAGCAGCTACAATTCATCTGCAAAAGTTCATTAGAATCCCGTCATGGTGGGGAAAGATGTCGGTCACTGCCTTACAATTCTAAAATGTTAATTTTCCTAGACAAAAGGAAGAACTAAGTGGCCTTAATAATAAAAATGTTATTTTATAATTACACAAATTATGGAGAGTGTTGATGTAATTGGAGCTATATGATAACGGTATTAGCAAAACGTCAGGGATGCTTCAAAGTATTAAGGACATGCTTTTCATTTAACTCCCTGAACATGTGTTCTAGATATTAGCCAGTACATGTGTACATTAAAGGAAACATGACCAAATCTGTTTGCAGTTTTTGGTGAGTTCAGACATTATTGTTTGAGTCATGCACACAGTCACAAATACTAACGAAAGATCCATTGACTGCTTCTCACTCAGGGTAATGGCCATGGCAAAGGGCATTATAACTGGCTCATAATCTCTGAATGTTTGTATTGTTTATTGAATTTCATTTTAAATAGGGAAATTAAATGTTTTCTTTGTACTGTGGATCAAGTTATACAAGATAAGTTTAGGCATATTTGATTATTCATAATTTGCTCCAGAGTCACTAATAGCAAACATTTTACCATCATTTTCTTAACACTTAAAAGCTTCATACAAAAATAAAATATTTTATATTTGTTTAAATATTTAGGTGCCCCTATAAAGCAGAAATGCGTGAAGAAATGAACTGAAAATAACAATTTTGTTTTTCATCACCTAGAAAGATGATACATATTGTAGCAAGTGCCCAAATATTGCACACATATATCTATGTTTAAATATAAATTGTACTATTCATTTTTGAACTCAATAATGTTTAACTATCACTATCTTATGTTGTTTAAAGATGATCCCTCACTACTTATTTTAGTAAAATTGACTATATTCTTATACAGACATACAAGGTTTTTAATTAATAACACAATGAAAAGCATAATTTTATACAGTGAAAAATAGACTCCTAGTGGATTTTTTTGGCAGGCAACACATTTCTAGGCCTATACTGTTATTCTTCTCACCACACGGTTCCCTTGGGATCTGCCGTGTTCCTGAGCTGTAACCCAGTTTCCTGACCACTGTTGACTGTCCTTGACCCAAGTGGTGCTAACAGGTTACTTGACTGAAAATTTTAGATCAGCAAATTAGAGAGGGAAACCAATTTCTCTCCAGTGTTGAACATCTTATAAAGTTTTACTAGAGGGCTATCCAGAGCTGTTTTTCTTGCCATGTTGAGAAAGCTAGTCTGCAGCAACAGAGAGTAAATCATGTTTACAGAAGAAAGCAGATGTAGCAGGAGACAAGGACTGTGAACTAACTTGCCAGCTCACGAGGCCTTTATTCCCATTCCTAGTCCATTTCCTTCGAAGGTGCAGCAACATCCTTTTAAATGTATGGAAATATTACAGACATTTTCTCACTTAACCCTTACGACTCTATAAGGTAGTTTTTAAAATACCAATTTTAAAATGTGGAGTTATGATTCATAGTGGTTATGCAATTTGCCCAAGATAAACCAGCTAGTAAAGAGCAGAATCAGAGCTGGCTGGGTTGCATCTAGTGCATCATCTGTTCATGCTACCCTTGCAGATGGAGCAGACTCAGGATGCCCCACGTCTTATTTATGCGGATAAGGAAATTGTGGAGATGTGAAACAACATTTGGAGACCCTAGGACTATAAGTGATATATGTATGCATGTATGTGTGTATGTGTGTATGTATGTGTATCCATATATATATATATGCATATTCTTCAGCAAGCTTATAATCAGACTTTAAAAAATGAAGCTGTTAAAAAACAGATGATGGTAGACAATTTATGAGAGAAATGAATGACAGAGTGGAAGAAATACTTAAATGGGCACTAATGATCAGTTTCTCTTATTTATTGATTATATTTAATAATTATGTCTCATTTGAATCTGAGGAAATATATGGAATTTTATGGTTTCTAGAAATAAAGTATTTCATCTTTATTTTCAGAAGCTCCTGATGTTTTGGTTTACTTATTCGTTGTTTTTATTTTTGTCTTTTTTTAATACCTCTGATTTCCAAGATAATATTATCCTGAGATCAGATATACTAATTCACATAATTTTTAGATAATGAAAAGTGTAAAGAGCAGTCCCAGAAATAGTAATCACGAAGTAAATTAAATTTATGCATGCTCTTCCATTATATTCCCCTTTTCACTGACACAGAGGCTCCTGTTAACAGCCTGATGGCACAGTGCCCACTATAGAATGCGCCAGAAGACCATCTTCCTAATGTCACTGAAATATGTTCCTCCTAACAAGATCCCCAAGTGCTTTAAATCATCTATTAATCCTTGTAAAACAAAACAAAGGTGATATGCTAACTCCATTTTGCAGGCTTAGAGAACAGTTTAGCAACTTGACCAAAGTCTCAAAATTAATAATTTGCTGGAGCGTAACTTAAACCCAGGTGTGTTTGATACCAGAGTCTCTGCTCTTTATCTACTTGTTTTGCTTTGGTAATTTAGATAAGTAATTTTAATTGATTTTCTAAATATATAATACATGTTTTTGTTCAAACATCAAAAGAATATATAACGAAAAAAAAAAGTCTGCCTTCCATCCTGTGTTTACCAGAAATAATTTTCTCTTTCTTGGAGATAGTCAACATTATCAATTACGTTATCTTATGTGTATAACTTATGTTTATAGGAAAAAATATATATGTATATGTTTTCTCCTCTGCCCAATGCAGAGCAAAGCACCACAAAACTCAGTGACTTAAAACAGTATGCATTTATTACGACAAGTATACAGGACATTAGCATGGTTCTGCTCTGGGCCTCACTAGGCTCATCTCAAATGGGCTCTCACTTGTGTATTTGGGGCAGCTGATGGCTTGACCAGGACTGTCTGCCTCGAATGGCCTCACTTACACGTCTGGTGTTGGACAGGCTTTCATCTGGGCACAGGGTTCCGGGTCTAGGTTTGTTCACATGGTAGTGGCAGAGTTCTAAGAAAGAAAGCAGAAGTATGCAAGTCTTTCTGAGGCAAGGGCCCTAAAGTGGTACACTTTTACATCTACCATGTCCTATTGGCCAAAGCAAGTCGTCAAGAAGTAGAGAAACAGATTCTACTCCTTAATGGGCAGAGAAGGAAAGTTATATTGAAAAAGGCATGAAAACAGGAAAGTATGAATGATTGGTGCCATTACTATAATCAATCTATTAATTCCAAAACTATACAAAGGATGGCATATTTTACACATTGTTTTGCACCTTCCTTTTAATGAATTAAATATCATGTAGATCACTTTCTATTAGTTCATAAAGAACTAATAATATTAGTATTATATATTATTAATATTATTATAACTATAGTATTAGTTATATTTTATGACTGCATAGTAGTCTATGGTGCACCACTATGCATTTCTTACCTTTTCTTTAAGAAACAATGTTGTCTATAGCCTTACATATTAGTAAATTAGTCATTTTACACCTGAAGACTATCTCCATAGAATAGATGTCTAGAAGTCAAATAACTTAGAAAAAAGGGTATGTGCTTTTATAATTATTTCAGATATTGAAAAATTGTCACTTTACCATAAAGTTTATACCAACAGAAATGTGTGAGGGTCCTGCTTACCCTATACTCTTAGTCCATAGCATTTAATCTAACTTTCTGAACTTTGCAAATATGATAGGAAAAATGTAATGCTTTGATTTGGTTTAAATAAGTAAATATGGCTTTTCGTGTGTTTTATAATCACCAGTACTTTCATTCATAGCCTTTGACTATTTCATGGTTATTCATTACCTAATACCATTGATTAAATTTGAATTATTATAAATAAAAATCTGAGTATTCTTCTCAGCTATTTAAAAATTCCTTGAATGTGTTCATCCTGATTCTTGGATATGTATTTGATTTAGCCAATTTACACACTTAACTTGCTCATTCCTTAGTTTTGTATTTTTTATCAGTACACATATTAGAATTTTTATTGGCTCTTGGCCACTGGAGATATACATTTGAATGTAAGCCTACGAAGAAACTACAGTGTTGTAGGAAGACAATTAAAACAGAATAATAAATCATACAATAGTTATACAAAACAGTATACAGGAACACATGGGAAGTTACCTGATCCAAAATTGAGGCAACAGGAAAATGTTACTAAAGATATGTCCTAGCAGTTAAATAAAACTTAACCAGTAAAATAATGGAGCGAGGGCATTCATTAAAATGGGAGCAGCATTTGTTGAGGTTCAAAGTCAATAAAATATACACTGGGAGGGCAGGCAGAGCAAGATGGCTAACTAGAAAGATTTACTGTTTGTCTCCCCCACAAAGACAGAGAATATATCGAATACGCGACTACATTTGGACAAAAATAATGAAAGGAGCGAACTGGAATACATCAAAGGAGCAGCAGAGATGCTGGTGAGTGCAGAAACTCAGGATAGCCACATAGGGAACCGAAGAAAATTCCCGACCACCACCACTCTATCTCCCAGCTAGGAGCAGCAAGGAACCAGGAGGATTTCCTACCTGTAGGAAAGAGGTAAGTGAATATGGCACCATGGGCTTGTGGCACAAACCAGCTGCCCTTTTGGCCATGCTCCCAGTGCTGGGCACTACTGCGAGCCTGCATGACTGCATTGACCCAGGGAGAGAGTTCACGCTGAGCCGCCCCAATCCCCCAGGTCCCAGGCTGCTGCAGCAGTTTCAGTTTTGGGATCAGACCCAACATCCAGAGGCATTTTGCTTTAGCTCCAGCAGAGGTTCCATAGCCCTGAAGCCCCATCATCACTCCAGGTAACCTACACCTGTGTCCATGTGGCATCCTGCACCTTGAGAATGAGAGATCCAGTGAAGCAAGGTGCCACCATCAGGACAGAGGGAGCAGTGCACACACTATCCAGAGTTAGAAAGCTGTCTATTCAGGGCCTTTGGCCACTGCCAGCAATCCCACCTTCTTTGGTGAAGCACCCTGTTGCTTCTCCCAAGAGCTAAAAATCTTACTCACAACCTTGACAGCCCAGCCCAACATCACTCACTTCAGCAAGGAACTACCAAGTACTCTGGTGGCTAGGCTGTAGAGGCACTCACAGACAACTCCAATATTGAATATAATCAAGACAATCACACAGAGACTACACTATTGTGGATACCTGGAACCAGAATTAAAACACCCTACTGACTGTCACAATAGAGCACATCTACAGGAGGGAGTCTTTCCCCTCAATAGCCACTCCAGAGTGTTAGAAGAAGCAACTCCTCCAACAGATCCCAGGCATCAACTTAGGATATTACAAATATGAAAAAAAAAAAAACAAAAACAAAGTAATATGACACCCACAAAGGAATACAATAATTTTCTAGTGCCAGATTCCAAGTAGCAGAAAACCTATAAAATAACTGGAAAAAAAATTCCAAGTAACAAATATAAGGAAAGTCAAAGAAATACAAGAAAATTCAAATAGACAACACAATGAAATAAGAAAAACAATCCAGGATCTGGAAGAGGAATTCAACAAAGAGATAGATATCTTTAAAAAGAACCAAACAGGACTCTTGGAACTGAAGAATTCAATCAATGATATAAAAAAAATACAACCAAGAGCTTAAATGACAGGCAAGAGCAAGCAGAAAAATCTCTGAACTTTTAGACATGCTTTTGAAATAACCTAAGCAGACAAAATGAAAAAGAATTTTTTTAAAATGAAGAAAGCCTAGGAGATCTATTGGACAACTTTAAGCATAGAAACATCCAAATAATGGGTGCTCCAGAAGGGGAGGAAAAAGTAAAAAGTATTGAAAACCTACTCAGTAGAATAATAGCTGAAAATATCCCAAGTATTGGGAGAGATATGGACTTCCAGATCCAAGATGCTCAAAGATCCCCAGATAGATTCAACCCAAAAATGTCTTCTCTAAGATACATTGTAATCAAACTGTCAAAAGTAAAAGACAAAGAAACAATACTAAAAGCAGCAAGAGAAAAGTGTCAAAGCACCTGTAAGGGAGTCTCTATCAGACTAACAGCAGATTTCTCAGCAGAGACTTTATAGGCTAGGAGAGAATAAGATGACATATTCAAAGTACTAAAAGAGAAAAACTGCCAGCCAAGAATACTATACCTCATATAATATTCTTCAGACATGAAGAAAAAATAGTGTATTTCCCAGACAAACAAAACTGTGGGAGTTTACCACTACAACACCATCCTTACAAGAAATCCTTAAGGAAGTCCTATATCTGGAATGCAGGAAGCAACAATCACCATCATGAGTACATGAGAAGGAATAAAACCCACTGGTAGAGCAGATACACAAATGAGAAAGAGAAAGAAACCATATATTATCATTACAAGAATCAAGAAACACTAAAGACAAACAATAAAAGGAAAAGAAATGATCAAAATATATTTAAAACAACTGTTAAAAATCAATAAAATGCCAGGAGTAAGACAATACCTTTCAATAACAACCCTAAATATAAATGGATTAAATTCTCCACTGAAAAGACATAGACTGGATGAACGAATTAAAAAACTAGACACAATTACATGCAGCATACAAAAAGCTCATTTCAGCTGCAAAGACAAACAGAGATTGATAGTGAAGGAATAGAAAACGCAAATTGAAACCAAAAACTATGAAAAGAGACAAAGAAGGTCATTATGTAATAAGGGGATCAAGCAAGAGGACATAACAACTATGAATATACATGAACGTCAGAGCACCCAGATATACAAAGCAAATATTAATAGATCTAAAGAGAGTATAGATCCCAGTACAGTAATAGCTGGGGGTTCAACAATCTTGTCTCAACATTGAATAGATTATCTAGGCAACCAATCAGCAGAGAAACATAGGATTTAAACTACACTTTAGACCCATTGCACTTGACAGACATCTACAGAACATCCAACTACAGAAAATACATTCTTCTCATCAGCACATGAAACATTCTCCAGAATAGGCCAATGTTACAAATAAAGTCTCAACAAATTTTTAAAAATTAAAATCATTTCAAGTATCTTTTCAAACCACGAGAATATAAAAGTAGAAATCAATAACAGGAAAAACACAAGGATGCCCAGTTTCACCACTCCTATTCCACGCAGTATTGGAAGTTCTAGCCAGAGAGATCTGGTAAGATAGAGAAATAAAGGGCATCCAAATTGGAAAAGATGAAGTCAAATTGTCCCCATTTGCAGATGACGTGATCTTATACACAGAAACACCTAAAGACTCCATCAAAAAACTCTTAGAGGTGATAAATGTAAAACAATGTAATAGTTTTTTAAAAACCCCGTTAAAAAGTAGGCATTTATCTAAGGAAGACATACAGATGACCAACAGTTATATGAAAAAATGCTCAACATCACTAATCATCAGAAAAACAAAAATCAAAACTACATTGAGATATCATCTCATTCCAGTTAGACTGGCCAGTATCAGAAAGACAGAGAATAACAAATGCTGTGGATGATGCAGAGAAAGAGAAACCCTCATACACTGTTGATGGGACTGGAAATTAGTTCAGCAATTATGGAAAACAGTATGGAGGTTTCTCAAACAATTACAGATAGAACTGCTGCATGATTCAGCAATCCCACTTCTGGGTATATACACAAAGGAATGGAAATCATCATGTCATCATGTCAAAGGAATACATGTGATCCTGTGTTTATCACAGCTCTATTTACAATAGCCAAGATATGGAACCAACCTAAGTGTCCATCAACAGATGACTGGATAAGGAAAATGTGATAGATACATACATACATACATACATACATACATACATACATACATACATACATACATACATACATACATAGATGATAGACAGAGAGATAGATAGATACATAGATAGATAGATAGATAGACAGATAGATAGATAGATGATAGATAGATAGACAGATAGATGATTGATAGATAGATGGATAGATGATAGATAGACAGATAAACAGATAGCTGTTAGATAGATAGATAGATGATAGATAGACAGATAGATGATAGATAGACAGATAGATAGACAGACAGACAGACAGATGATAGATAGATAGACAGATAGATGATAGACAGATAGATGATAGATAGATAGATAGATAGATGGATAGATAGATAGATGGATAGATAGATAGATGGATAGATAGATAGATAGATAGATACATAGATAGACAGATAGATGATTGATAGATAGATAGATAGATGATAGATAGATAGATGGATAGATAGATAGATAGATAGATACATAGATAGATAGATATACACAAACACACACAATGGAATACTACTCTGCCATAAACAGGATAAAATTCTGCCATTCGCAGCAACACAGATGAGCTTGGAGAAAATTATGCAAAGTGAAATAAGCCAGATACTGCATGTCCTCACTCATAAGTGTGAGCTAAAAAAATAAACAGGAAGGAAGGAAGGAAGGAAGGAAGGAGGGAGGGACAATAATAATAATTTGAACTTTCAGAAGGAGAGAACAGAATTGTGGCTACTAGAGGTCAGGGGGGAATAGCGAGAAATTGGTTAATGGACACAGAACAGCTAGTTAGAAAAAATAGGTTCTATTGGTGTACAGTCAAGCCAGGTATCTATGATTGACATTAGTTTACTGCATATTATAAAATAGATAGAAAAGATGAGATCAAATGTCATCATTACAAAACCATGATTAAGTTTTTATTGATGAATATGCTAATTATCCTGATTTGATCATCGCTCATTATATACAGGTATTTCTATTCAACTCTGTACCCCACAAATATGTATAATCCATTGTTTCAATTTTTTAAAAGTTACTAATAAAAATATAAAATAAGTCACTATATAAGTAATATATATATATATATATACTCTTAAGAAATGTAAATCCAGGGCCGGCCCGGTGGCGCACTTGGTAGAGTGCAGTGCTTGGGAGCACGGCGGCGCTCCTGCCGAGGGTTCGGATCCCATACAGAGACCAGTCTGCTCACTGGTTGAGCGCGGTGCGGGCGCTACACCGAGGGTTGCGATCCCATTACCGGTCACGAAAAAAGACAAAAAGGAAAAAAAAAAAAAGAAATGTAAATCCAAAACTTCTTTTAATTTAAGTTTAAGTAGGATTAGAACTAGAGTTCCATACAAGTGTGAAAGTGGGTCTGGCAAGAGATGAGGCTGGAGAGAGAAATGAAAGGTTAAGAGTCTGGAGTTTACACTAAGGATCCCCTAAAAAATTGTAAGCACTTAAGTGACAAGAATGCATTTTATGAAAAAAACATGGTTTTGGCAAGGACTGGAGAATTAATTGGAGCAGCACTAAATTAGTGTCAGTAGTAATGCAGAGCAGAAATCATGAGGAGCTAAATGTGAGGAGTAAAGAAAGGTCAGTGCATGACCATGCAAACCACACAGCATTTACCTGCTGTGCAGGAATTTAAATGTCTCCAACTGTCTTGAAGTGGCTTCCTGAATCAAGGAGAAAATGAAATTGCCCCAGACTGGAGGGTGCGTGGGGCATGTAGTTGTATATAACACTGTGTAGGAACACACAGAAAGTTGCCTAACCTGGAATTGGGGAAACAGGAAAGTGCCTGGTCTGAGACATTAAGCACACTCCAATGCAGAAATCAGCTATGAAGTAGCATATTTAAGGATGAAACTTTTTTTTTATGAAGGCAAGAAAATATAGAGAACAGTCTGTAAACAGGTTAAGGACATATTTTGCTTGCCACAGAATGAACTTTGCATAGGTCACAACCAAAAGATTTTGGAGAGTATAGTACGATAGGAGCTTGAGTCTTGGGAAAGGAA